TGCTGCCAGGTCTATCTACCTGCTGCCAGGCCTATCTACCTGCTGACAGGCCTATTACCTGCTGACAGGTCTATCTACCTGCTGCCAGGCCTATCTACCTGTTGCCAGGTCTATCTACCTGCTGCCAGGTCTATCTACCTGCTGCCAGGTCTATCTACCTGCTGCCAGGTCTATCTACCTGTTGCCAGGTCTATCTACCTGCTGCCAGGTCTATCTACCTGCTGCCAGGCCTATCTACCTGCTGCCAGGCCTATCTACCTGTTGCCAGGTCTATCTACCTGCTGCCAGGTCTATCTACCTGCTGCCAGGCCTATCTACCTGCTGCCAGGTCTATCTACCTGCTGCCAGGCCTATCTACCTGTTGCCAGGCCTATCTACCTGCTGCCAGGCCTATCTACCTGCTGCCAGGCCTATCTGCCAGGTCTATCTACCTGCTGCCAGGTCTATCTGCCAGGCCTATCTACCTGCTGCCAGGCCTATCTAACTTGTGTGTATGTGTGTGTGTGTGTGTGTGTGTCTGTGTGTATGTGTGTGTGTGTGTCTTTGTGTGTGTGTGTCTGTGTGTCTGTGTCTGTGTCTGTGTGTGTTTCTCTGTGTGTGTGTGTGTGTGTGTGTGTGTTTTTGTGTGTGTGTGTGTGTGTGTGTGTTTCTGTGTGTGTGTGTGTGTGTGTGTGTGTGTCATGTCTTTGACACATACTCTACACTATCCAGAGCTCACAGTACTGAAAATAACCCAAGACTTTGTCTTAAGCTCTATTCATCTACTCTGGGTCTGCTCTGGGTCAGTCTGGGCACAGGTGGGTTATGCTGTCCAGAGGCTGTGTATTTACAAATCCCACTTATGCTACTTGTAGACCAGGGATAGTGGTTCCTGGGTACACTACTGGGGGATTGTGGACCATGACTGGGTAGACTACTGGGGGATTGTGGACTTGGACTGCAATTCAGGCCGGGATTCAATCTGATTGCGCTTTGACAGCTATATACCTTTTTAGGCAATGTTACAGCGGAGACTGCATTCAATCGGAAATTCCCTTTATATGGTTCATTGACGACAATGCGCGATCGGCTTGAATCCTGGCTTCAGTCACTAGAGATTCTCTTACAGTCTTAGAATGTTGTTATGGAATTTTAGAGTAAGTTAAAACCTCTTGAGATGAAAGCACTTTGCACTGTTTCGCCGTGGCTGCGTTCATCAATCTAGCAAGAAGGCAATATTTTGCAGAGATGGGGAGAGAGAGTGAGAGGGGAGAGAGAGAGGGCAGAGAGAGAGAGGAGATAGGAGAGAGAGAGAGAGGAGATAGGAGAGAGAGAGAGAGGAGATAGGAGAGAGAGAGAGAGAGAGAGAGAGAGGGAGAGAGAGAGAGAGAGAGGAGAGAGAGAGAGAGAGGAGAGAGAGAGAGAGAGGAGAGAGAGAGAGAGAGAGAGAGAGAGGAGAGAGAGGAGAGAGAGAGAGAGAGCGAAAGAGAGAGAGATGGAGAAAGAGAAAGTTAATAAGTAATCTCCCACTGGGCACAAACTGGTTGAATCAACGTTGTTTCTACGTAATTTGTCAACGTATTGTAAAATGGAATCTATGTGGAAAATACATTAATTTTGCAAAAACTCATCAATGTAAACTGTTGTTTTTTGAGGGTGAAATTTCAACCAGAGGATTATGTCATCATTGTAACACATTTTCAATATAGACAAACCTTGTATAAAATATGTTAAATGTGTACTTTTGAAGTAACGTCAGATCTTCAGATATCCACTATATGAAAACCAACAGGCTGACCAGCACCTCTTAATGGAGAGCCGATCTATCTACCGTTATTCATATGGTCTGCCATCCAGGGTTTTAACCAATCCCTGCTTAGCTTCGATATGTATCACTGATTATTACCAATGTGCTATAGTGAGAATGACAGTTGAGAGATATCTTTAATAACTAAATAGATTCATGGCTGCCGTCGAAGTCATTACAAAGGGTGAGACTCTCATGTTTTGCTCTAGGACACCCACAGGCCTCACAAGTCTCGTCAGAGGTCTCCTGGTACCAGTTTAAAAAATGAATAAAAGTACTGAACAAAAATATATATACGCAACATGCAACAATTTCAAATATTTTTACTGAGTTACAGTTCATAGAAGGAAATCAGTCAATTGAAATAAATAAATTAGACCCTAAACTATGGATTTCACATAAATGGGCAGGGGCGGAGCCATGGGAGGGGACGGCATAGGCCCACCCCTTGGGAGCCAGGCCCAGCCAATCAGAATGAGTTTTCCCCCACAAAAGGGCTTTATTGACAGAAATACTCCTTTGAATGGGCTAATAGCAGTAAGGCCAAATGTTTATATAAAAAATATATATATATATACTTAAAGGGGTCTTAAAATTCAAAATCAAATAGCTAAATTATCCTTGGTATGACCTTCTTAAAACAATTCCATATAGCTTAGTAGACACACTCAATCAAACAGACTACAACCTCTCCACAATGGCCGAGACCAGAGAGCTGTGTAAGGACATCAGGCATAAAATTGTAGACCTGCAAAAGGCTGGGATGGGCTACAGGACAATAGGTAAGCAGCTTGGTGAGAAGGCAACAACTGTTGGCGCAATTATTAGAAAATGGAAGAAGTTCAAGATGACGGTCAATCACCCTCAGTCTGGGGCTCCATGCAAGATCTCACCTCGTGGGGCATCAATGATCATGAGGAAGGTGAGGGATGAGCCCAGAACTACACGGCAGGACCTGGTCAATGACCTGAAGAGAGCTGGGACCACAGTCTCAAAGAAAACCATTAGTAACACACTATGCCGTCATGGATTAAAATCCTGCAGCGCACGCAAGGTCCCCCTGCTCAAGCCAGTGCATGTCCAGGCCCCTCTGAAGTTTGCCAATGACCAACCATCTGGATGATCCTGAGGAGGAATGGGAGAAGGTAATGTGGTCTGATGAGACATAAATAGAGCTTTTTGGTCTAAACTCCACTCGCCGTGTTTGGAGGAAGAAGAAGGATGAGTACAACCCCGAGAACACCATCCCAACCGTGAAGCATGGAGGTGGAAACATCATTCTTTGGGGATGCTTTTCTGCAAAGGGGACAGGACGACTGCACCGTATTGAGGGGAGGATGGATGGGGCCATGTATCGCGAGATCTTGGCCAACAACCTCCTTCCCTCAGTAAGAGCATTGAAGATGGGTCGTGACAACGACCCGAAACACACAGCCAGGGCAACTAAGGAGTGGCTCCACAAGAAGCATCGCAAGGTCCTGGAGTGGCCTAGCCAGTCTCCAGACCTGAACCCAATAGAAAATCTTTGGAGGGAGCTGAAAGTCCGTATTGCCCAGCGACAGCTCCAAAACCTGAAGGATCTGGAGAAGGTCTGTATGGAGGAGTGGGCCAAAATCCCTGCTGCAGTGTGTGCAAACCTGGTCAAGACCTACAGGAAACATATGATCTCTGTAATTGCAAACAAAGGTTTTTGTACCAAATATTAAGTTCTGCTTTTCTGATGTATCAAATACTTATGTCATGCAATAAAATGCAAATGAATTACTTAAAAATCATACAATGTGATTTTCTGGATTTTTGTTTTAGATTCCGTCTCTCACAGTTGAAGTGTACCTATGATAAAACTTACAGACCTCTACATGCTTTGTAAGTAGGAAAACCTGCAAATTCGGCAGTGTATCAAATACTTGTTCTCCCCACTGTATGTGATTATTACTGGTTTTCTATATGGCGAGCATATGGGATCAATTTATGCACCTAATGTTCATGAAAATACCTTTATTGCAAAACTTGTAAATGATATGGCCTCACTGGCCGGCTCTGTTCTGTGTTTTAGGAGGAGACTATAATTGTATATTGAACCCACTGGTCGATCAAAAACCTCCCAACCAGAAGGTATCTAGGCAAACTAAGGGTATACATAATATTTGTGATGATTTCTGTCTGCATGGTAAAACTGGAGGATCCGTCCAATGAGAAGGACTTAATTTTTTTATTCCGCCAGACAGAAATATATTTCTTGAATTGACTACTTTCTACCTTCACAACTGGTTTTCGACCCAACAGTCTTGTGATATCGGTATCATGTGTTTGTCGGCCCATTCCCAGGTCAGCATAGTCATTGACCCACCTTACAGGGTGATGGTTAAACCCTACGTTATTTAACACACCCCAATTCACTGTATTTTTTTTAAAGAATCAATGTAATCTCTATATGGAGAATAATGAAACCCCCAATGTGCCTCCTTCAATCAATAATATATAAGGAATATTATTTCCTATGTCGCAGTTAAAAGAAAGAAAACATTTAAACTACAGTTGGACTTAAAAGTGAAAAATAAGGCAACTTGAAGATTAATTTAAAAGGACTTCCTCCAGACAGCTCTTCGAAGAATTACAACCTGCAAGATTCAGCATTAGACCAACTGTTTACAGACAGAGCAGAAGATTCAGCATTAGACTGAACTGTTTACAGACAGAGCAGAAGATTCAGCATTAGACTGAACTGTTTACAGACAGAGCAGAAGATTCAGCATTAGACCAACTGTTTACAGACAGAGCAGAAGATTCAGCATTAGACTGAACTGTTTACAGACAGAGCAGAAGATTCAGCATTAGACTGAACTGTTTACAGACAGAGCAGAAGATTCAGCATTAGACCAACTGTTTACAGACAGAGCAGAAGATTCAGCATTAGACTGAACTGTTTACAGACAGAGCAGAAGATTCAGCATTAGACTGAACTGTTTACAGACAGAGCAGAAGATTCAGCATTAGACTGAACTGTTTACAGACAGAGCAGAAGATTCAGCATTAGACTGAACTGTTTACAGACAGAGCAGAAGATTCAGCATTAGACTGAACTGTTTACAGACAGAGCAGAAGATTCAGCATTAGACTGAACTGTTTACAGACAGAGCAGAAGATTCAGCATTAGACTGAACTGTTTACAGACAGAGCAGAAGATTCAGCATTAGACCAACTGTTTACAGACAGAGCAGAAGATTCAGCATTAGACCAACTGTTTACAGACAGCGCAGAAGCATCTATTTTCCAGGCTGGACACAGATTATATGAACATGGAAATAAACCAGGTCGACTCCTCTCAAGACTGGCAAAGAACAGAACTGCACTAGACGCTACACCTTCATTAAGGACCAATCGGGGGGGGGGGGGGGGGTGGAATGATTCACCACTAGGGAAATAAATACCATTAGTGCTACCTGCCACTCTGCAGCTCAGACTTCAGCAATAATCCGGCTGACATGCAATCCTTTCTAGATAAACTATCTCTCCCAACAATACATGTAGGAGACAGAGGATTACTAAGAAATACAAGAGGCGGATTAAAAGCCTTAACAATGGGAAATCCCCAGTTCCTGATGGGTTTTATAAGAATTGTCAAGATTTCTTAACGGAACCGCTACTCAGAATGTATACCAGGGGCAAACTCCCTCCCATGTTAAACCATGCTGATAGGTATCTCCTTCTTAAGAAAAACAAACCAGCTATAGGCCTGTGTCTCTTAATCATGTGGCCAGATCTTATCCTTAGCTAGGAGACTAGGAAGATATCTACCAATTTGAAAAAAAAGCCTGACTAAACTGGTTTTATAATGCAAAGGCGTTCATTCACTGACGTCAGACGTCTCCTCAGCATAATACGACACCGTGATCGATCACAGCATAGAGCAGCGTCTCTATTGCATGCTGGGAAAGGCATTCGACCGAGTAGAATGGACATTCCTGTTTAAAGTCCATTACTTCTTTGAAGTGGGAGAACATTGTGTTAACTGGAGGAAGTTGATATGCCTCAGGTACAGCATGTAGCTATAGCCCCTTCAGGCCGCTGTGGTAATAAATGGATACAGTCAACCATTTTGTTTTTAGGTAGAGGGACACTGTCACGATCGTTCATTAACGAGAAGGACCAAGGCGCAGCGTGATATGCATTCATATTTATTTCCGTACTGAACACACGACAAAAGAACAAACGAAACGTGAAGTCCAAGGTAGACAAATAACATACCTTAACACGGAACAAGATCCCACAACTGACTGGTGCCAAAAGGCTGCCTAAGTATGGTCCCCAATCAGAGACAACGAGCGACAGCTGCCTCTGATTGGGAACCAAACCGGCCAACATAGAACTACACATAATGGAGATTCACCATAGAATTAAACACAACACGGAAACGACACACCCTGGCTCAACATTTAAGAGTCCCCAGAGCCACGGAAACTACACACCCTGGCTCAACATTTAAGAGTCCCCAGAGCCACGGAAACTACACACCCTGGCTCAACATTTAAGAGTCCCCAGAGCCACGGAAACTACACACCCTGGCTCAACATTTAAGAGTCCCCAGAGCCACGGAAACTACACACCCTGGCTCAACATTTAAGAGTCCCCAGAGCCACGGAAACTACACACCCTGGCTCAACATTTAAGAGTCCCCAGAGCCAGGGCGTGACAGGCACACCAGGACTGCCCACTGACACCTCTGTTATTTGCCTTGGTATGAGAGCGCCTGGCAGAGGCTATACGTACCCAGGAAGGTCTTGCAGGTGTCAAGATTGGACAACAAACCCACAATATATCTCTGTATACAGACTACATTTTTCTATTAATTTCTTACCCAGGAACCTCTATTCCATTTTTTCCATGTTAGTCATTTAGCAGACGCTCTTATCCAGAGCAACTTACTGTTAGTGAGTGCATACATTTTCATACTATATATTTTCATACTATATATTCCCATTCTTATTGACTTAATTAAGAGGTTTAGCTCTTTTTCTGGCTACAAAATATAAGCTATGCCCCTAGGGAACTTGAGTGACAACAAACATTTGAATGACTTCCCGTTACATTTTTTGGGGGTGTAAAATCTTTGAATAAACTTCACAATCTGTCTAATAGCAACTTTGCACCTGTATTTACAGCAGTTAAGGAAGACTTGACAGATGGATGGAGCTGCCATTATCATGGATGGGTAGAATTAATTTGATTCAAATGAATGTTTTACCCAGACTTTATCCTCTCCAGATGGTCCCATTATATATAACGAAAAATTATTTTTTGGAGCTCAATAAATACCTCTCAGACTTTATATGGCACAGAAAATCACCGAGGTTGAAAATGAGTAAACGGCAGCTACTGTATAATGTAGGGGGACTGGCACTACCTCATTCGCTATTTTATAACTGGGCATGTCATGCTCACATAACTACAGAATGGCTCAGAGATTAACATTGCTCTAATTGGCTCAGAAAATGACTCCTGCTTCACATCTCCATACTCATTAATCAGTGTTATGACTGGTGACAGAAACTCAGTCGACATAGAAGTGAAACATAACCCCATTCTTAACAGCACCTTTAAAGATCTGGAGAGATATTTGCAAAACACCTTCGGAGAAAGGATTACTTTTTGGCTCTGCTGATTAATAACAAGGTCTTTCCCCCGGTGTCTCTGATATCATTTTCCACCTCTGGTACCAGAAAGGTATAAGGTCAATATCAGATATGTTTGATGGTGACACGTTGCTATAGTTTCATTTGATTGAATCCAAGATGGCGTTCCCCCTACAGAAACCAATACGAACCCAAGTGGACAATCTCCTGTTGAAAGATGAAAGACCTAAACACATTATTTCTTCATGTTATGCTGCTATACATTCTAACGTTGAAAGTCACTCAAGTGCTCTGATTAGGGTATGGGAAACTGAGCTGGGAAGAGGCCCAGAAATTTCAAATTGGACAAAGGCTATGCTCGAGGCAAGACGACTGATCACCTGCAACAATGTGCAATATATGCAATAAAAGATTCTGCCAAGTGTTCATAGGACCCCCATTATATGGAATAAAAGGGTTCATAGGACCTCATTATATGGAATAAACAGGGTTAATAGGACTACCTTTATGTGGACTAAAAGTGTTCATAGGACTTCTTGGATATGGAATAAAAGAGTTCTTAGGACCCCCATTATATGGAATAACAGGGTTCATAGGACCGCCATTACAATGGTCCAAGTTCTCCCACTTAAAAAGATGAGAGGCCTGTAATTTTCATCATAGGTACACGTCAACTATGACAGACAAAATGAGGAAAAAAATTCCAGAAAATCACATTGTAGGATTTTTAATGAATTTATTTGCAAATTATTGTGGAAAATAAGTATTTGGTCAATAACAAAAGTTTCTCAATATTTTCTTATATACCCTTTGTTGGCAATGACACAGGTCAAACGTTTTCGGTAAGTCTTCACAAGGTTTTCACACACTGTTGCTGGTATTTTGGCCCATTCCTCCATGCAGATCTCCTCTAGAGCAGTGATGTTTTGGGGCTGTCGCTGGGCAACACGGACTTTCAACTCCCTCCAAAGATTTTCTATGGGGTTGAGATCTGGAGACTGGCTAGGCCACTCCAGGACCTTGAAATGCTTCTTACGAAGCCACTCCTTCGTTGCCCGGGCGGTGTGTTTGGGATCATTGTCATGCTGAAAGACCCAGCCACGTTTCATCTTCAATGCCCTTGCTGATGGAAGGAGGTTTTCACTCAAAATCTCACGATACATGGCCCCATTCATTCTTTCCTTTACACGGATCAGTCGTCCTGGTCTCTTTGCAGAAAAACAGCCCCAAAGCATGATGTTTCCACCCCCATGCTTCACAGTAGGTATGGTGTTCTTTGGATGCAACTCAGCATTCTTTGTCCTCCAAACACGACGAGTTGAGTTTTTACCAAAAAGTTATATTTTGGTTTCATCTGACCATATGACATTCTCCCAATCCTCTTCTGGATCATCCAAATGCACTCTAGCAAACTTCAGACGGGCCTGGACATGTACTGGCTTAAGCAGGGGGACACGTCTGGCACTGCAGGATTTGAGTCCCTGGCGGCGTAGTGTGTTACTGATGGTAGGCTTTGTTACTTTGGTCCCAGCTCTCTGCAGGTCATTCACTAGGTCCCCCCGTGTGGTTCTGGGATTTTTGCTCACCGTTCTTGTGATTATTTTGATCCCACGGGGTGAGATCTTGCGTGGAGCCCCAGATCGAGGGAGATTATCAGTGGTCTTGTATGTCTTCCATTTCCTAATAATTGCTCCCACAGTTGATTTCTTCAAACCAAGCTGCGTACCTATTGCAGATTCAGTCTTCCCAGCCTGGTGCAGGTCTACAATTTTGTTTCTGGTGTCCTTTGACAGCTCTTTGGTCTTGGCCATAGTGGAGTTTGGAGTGTGACTGTTTGAGGTTGTGGACACGTGTCTTTTATACTGATAACAAGTTCAAACAGGTGCCATTAATACAGGTAACGAGTGGAGGACAGAGGAGCCTCTTAAAGAAGAAGTTACAGGTCTGTGAGAGCCAGAAATCTTGCTTGTTTGTACGTGACCAAATAATTTTGAGAGTCATATGAACCCTGGAATAAAAGGGTTCATATGACTCTCATTATATGGAATAACAGGGTTGACAGGACCCACATTATATGGAATAAAGGGTTCATAGGACTCCCATTATATGGAATAAAGGGTTCATAGGACTCCCATTATGTGGAATAAAGGGTTCATAGGACTCCCATTATATGGAATAAAGGGTTCATAGGACTCCCATTATGTGGAATAAAGGGTTCATAGGACTCCCATTATATGGAATAAAGGGTTCATAGGACTCCCATTATGTGGAATAAAATCCCAGCAGAATGTTCTGATACCTTTTGGAAGAGGAAAAGGCCTCATGGCCATCTGATTTATCTTGCCCATTAATTACAGTTTTCTGGGAAAATATTCAAACGGAGCTGGAGTGCAGGTTCATATGTAAGAATGGACCCATGGCTGTTTGTACTGGGTGTCGTTGTGAACAGGTCCACACTAATCTTAGCACAGCTCAATCTTCTCAACAAATATTTTTTGTGGCCTGCGAATGCATTCTCCTTAACAGCTAGCAACAATAAATCAGTGATATTATGAGACGTTTACAGTGTCACCACTGGAGAAAAGGCGTGCTATATTTGGAAACAAGGAAGGAGATTTCTATACAATATGGGTCTCTTCCCCCTAATCTATAACCAGACCTACCTATATAGTACAGACCCTTCTCTGCTATAACCAGACCTCCCTATATAGTACAGACCCTTCTCTGCTATAACCAGACCTACCTATATAGTACAGACCCTTCTCTGCTATAACCAGACCTCCCTATATAGTACAGACCCTTCTCTGCTATAACCAGACCTCCCTATATAGTACAAACCCTTCTCTGCTATAACCAGACCTCCCTATATAGTACAGACCCTTCTCTGCTATAACCAGACCTCCCTATATAGTACAGACCCTTCTCTGCTATAACCAGACCTACATATATAGTACAGACCCTTCTCTGCTATAACCAGACCTACCTATATAGTACAGACCCTTCTTTGCTATAACCAGACCTACCTATATAGTACAGACCCTTCTCTGCTATAACCAGACCTACATATATAGTACAGACCCTTCTCTGCTATAACCAGACCTCCCTATATAGTACAGACCCTTCTCTGCTATAACCAGACCTCCCTATATAGTACAGACCCTTCTCTGCTATAACCAGACCTACATATATAGTACAGACCCTTCTCTGCTATAACCAGACCTACATATATAGTACAGACCCTTCTCTGCTATAACCAGACCTACATATATAGTACAGACCCTTCTCTGCTATAACCAGACCTACCTATATAGTACAGACCCTTCTCTGCTATAACCAGACCTACCTATATAGTACAGACCCTTCTCTGCTATAACCAGACCTACCTATATAGTACAGACCCTTCTCTGCTATAACCAGACCTACATATATAGTACAGACCCTTCTCTGCTATAACCAGACCTACATATATAGTACAGACCCTTCTCTGCTATAACCAGACCTACATATATAGTACAGACCCTTCTCTGCTATAACCAGACCTACATATATAGTACAGACCCTTCTCTGCTATAACCAGACCTACCTATATAGTACAGACCCTTCTCTGCTATAACCAGACCTACATATATAGTACAGACCCTTCTCTGCTATAACCAGACCTACCTATATAGTACAGACCCTTCTCTGCTATAACCAGACCTACCTATATAGTACAGACCCTTCTCTGCTATAACCAGACCTACCTATATAGTACAGACCCTTCTCTGCTATAACCCAGACCTACCTATATAGTACAGACCCTTCTCTGCTATAACCAGACCTACCTATATAGTACAGACCCTTCTCTGCTATAACCAGACCTACATATATAGTACAGACCCTTCTCTGCTATAACCAGACCTCCCTATATAGTACAGACCCTTCTCTGCTATAACCAGACCTACCTATATAGTACAGACCCTTCTATGCTATAACCAGACCTACCTATATAGTACAGACCCTTCTCTGCTATAACCAGACCTACCTATATAGTACAGACCCTTCTCTGCTATAACCAGACCTACCTATATAGTACAGACCCTTCTCTGCTATAACCAGACCTACCTATATAGTACAGACCCTTCTCTGCTATAACCAGACCTACCTATATAGTACAGACCCTTCTCTGCTATAACCAGACCTACCTATATAGTACAGGACAGGTGCAGTGCAGAACAACCCACTGTACTTCACATTCACTCCATGTCATAACAGAAAATTATGGTTACAGCCACTCCTACAATACAGCATCTCCTACAATACAGCATCTCCTACAATACAGCATCTCCTACAATACAGCATCTCCTACAATACAGCATCTCCTACAATACAGCATTTCCTACTATACAGCATCTCCTACAATACAGCATCTCCTACAATACAGCATCTCCTACAATACAGCCTATCCTACAATACAGCCTCTCCTACAATACAGCCTCTCCTACAATACAGCCTCTCCTACAATACAGCATCTCCTACAATACAGCCTCTCCTACAACACAGCATCTCCTACAATACAGCATCTCCTACAATACAGCCTCTCCTACAATACAGCATCTCCTACAATACAGCATCTCCTACAATACAGCATCTCCTACAATACAGCATCTCCTACAATACAGCCTCTCCTACAATACAGCCTCTCCTACAATACAGCATCTCCTACAATACAGCATCTCCTACAATAAAGCCTCTCCTACAATACAGCATCTCCTACAATACAGCATCTCCTACAATACAGCATCTCCTACAATACAGCATTTCATACAATACAGCATCTCCTACAATACAGCCTAT